GGAATACAAATAGGCAAAGAAACTGTCAAATATCCCTATTTGCAGATGACATGATTCTATACCTTAAAGACCCAAAAAACTCAACTCAGAAGCTTCCAGACATCATCAATAGCTATAGCAAGTAGCAGATATAAAATCAACATAGAAAAATCATTAGCATTTCTATACACTAACAATGAGCCAAACTGAAAAAGAATGTATGAAAACAATTCCATTTACAATAGCCTCAAACAAATCAAATACCTAGGTGTAAAACCATAACAAAAGTTGTAAAAGACCTCTACAAGGAAAACTATACACTTCTGAAGAAAGAGATTGAGGAAGACTATAGAAAGTGGAGAGATCCCATGCTCAGGATTTGGTAAAATCAACATAGTAAATGTCTATACTCCCCAAAGTAATCTACATGTTTAATGCAATTCCCATCCAAAATTCCAATGACATTCAATTAAAGAGATCGAAAAAATCTACCATGAAATTTGTATGGAAACACAAGAGGCCATGAATAGCCAAGCAATACTCAGTCAAAAGGAACAATGCGGAGTATCACAATACCTGACTTCAAACGATTACAAAGCAATAACGAATTAAAAACAGCATGTACTGGCACAAAAAACAGACATGAAGACCAGTGACAAACAGAGACCCAGATAATGAAGCCACACAACTATACCAACTTGCTCTTGACAAAGGAGCTAAAAATATACAATGGGAAAATAGCAGCCTCTTCAACAAAAACTGCTGGGAAAATGGTTAGCAGTCTGCAAAAAACTGAAACTAATCCATGTATATCACCCTATACCAATATTAACTCAAATGGATCAAGGATCTTAATATCAGACCACAAACCTAAAGTTGATACAGGAAAGAGTAGGAAATACTCTGGAGTTAGTAGGTATAGGCAAGAACTTCTCACGAAACCCCAGCAGCACAGCAACTAAGAGATAGCATAGATAAATGGGCCTCATAAAACTAAAAAGCTTCTGTTCATCAAAAGAAAGTGGTCTCTAAACTGGAGAACACCCACAGAGTGGGAGAAATATTTGCCAGCTATACATCAGACAAAGGACTGAATACCAGAATATACAGGGAACTTAAAAACTAAATTCTCCCAAAATAATGAACCAATAAAGAAATGGGCAAGTGAACTAACAGAACTTTCTCAAAGAAGAAATCAAATGGCAAAAACACATGAAAAATGCTCACCATCTCTAGCAATAAAGGAAATGCAAATTAAAACCACGCTAAGATTCCACCTCACCCCTGTTAGAATAGCCATCATCAGCAACACCACCAACAACAGGTGTTGGCAAGGATGTGGGGAAAAAGGAAACCCTCTTACACTTTGGTGGGAATGTAACTAGTACAACCACTCTGGAAAAAATTTGGAGGCTACTAAAAAGCTAAACATTGATCTACGATTTATCAGCAATACCACTCTTGGGGATATACCCAAAAGACTGTGACACAGGTTTACTCCAGAGGCACCTGCACACCCATGTTTATTGCGCACTATTCACCAATAGCCAATTAGGAAACAGCCAAGATGCCCCCACTGACGAATGGATTAAGAAAATGTGGTATCTATACAACAAATGGAATTTTATGCAGCCATGAAGAAGAATAAATGTTTATCATTCGCTGTAAATGGATGGAATTGGAGAACATCATTCTGAGTTGAGGTTAGCCTGGCCCAAAAGAACCAAAAAATCTTTGTTCTCCCTCATATGTGGACATTAGATCAAGGGCAAACACACAAGGATTGACTTTGAGCACATGATAAAAGGAAGAGCACACGGGAGGTAAGGATAGGTAAGACACCAAAAAAGCTAGCATTTGTTGCCCTTAATGCAGAGAAACTAAAGAGATACCTTAAAAGCAACTGAGGCCAATAGGAAAAAGGGGACCAGAAACTAGAGAAAAGGTTGAGATCAAAAAGATTAACCAGAAGGTAACACACACGCACAGGAAATCAATGTGAGTCCAAATGCCCGTATAGCTATCCTTATCTCAACCAGCAAAACACTTGCTCCTTTCCTATTATGGCTCATCTCTTCTTCAAACAAAATTGGAGTAAGGGCGAATAGTTTCTGCTGGGTATTGAGGGTGGGGGGGAGAGGGAGGGGCGGTTGTGGTAAGGGAGGGGGTGGGGCAGGGGGGAGAAATGACCCAAGCCTTGTATGCACATATGAATAATAAAACAATAAAAAGAATTGTGCATACATTAAGATTCATTCTGGGCTGGGGGTGTAGCTCAGTGGTAGAGTACATGGTTAGAAGGTGCAAGGCTTTGAGTTTGATCCCATTCTCTCCCCAAAAGCTCACTCTGTGCTATAAAGCGGAATTGTAACAGCTGCACAGTATCATGCACCCGCCATTACAGTAGTGTACAAAATAGTGCCAGCATCCTAAAAATATCCCCAGTGCAACCAAATAAACCTTCCTCCTCTCCAAACTTCATTTGTTACATTTTCCTAACAGAAAATGTTCTTGATATCACTGCTCCTCATTCTTCCCCTTGCATCATATTCAGACTTGTAAACACATGTGACCTCACTTCAAGCCTAATGTTTCCACTTAGCAGATGGTTGAATGAAACTCTGAGAGTAAGTGACTTGGTGAAGATCTCAGTAAGTGGTGGTGAGGCACTAGCACTTGTACCTTTGACCCTGGTATGATGCATCCCACTATACAATCCTCCTTGAGTGGGATGGTTATGCTGTGAGACATGAAGGCTGAAGTGGTGGTAAGTGGTCACTTAAACCATATCTTATATTAACTAAAGCTTTTACACTAAAAAAGATGAGAAAGTGAAATTCTAGTTCTGGAAATTTGATAAACTTGACACCTCAGAAACCTTTCTGCTATATGAGACTCCCAAAATGCTGGGTAAATGAAAACCCACAACTCAACATAAAAAGAAAAACAAAAACAAAAACAAAAAAACCATGGCCAGGTGTGATACTGACACCTGTAATTCCAGCTACTCAAGGTTAGCCCTGGCAAAAAGTTAGTGAGACCCATCTCAACCAACAAGCCAGATGTGGTGGTACATGTCTGTGATCCCAGTTATCAGGAGGCAAAGGTAGGAGGATTTGTTCTTAGGCTTGCCGTGAGCAAAAATTTAAGACTCTATCTGAAAAATAACTAAAAAAGCAAGAGAGCTGGGGAGTGTGGTTCAAGTGCTAGAGTACCTGCCTAGCAAGGGTGAGGTCCTGAGTTCAAACCCAAGTACCTTATATATGGTTGGAGGCATGGCTCAAGCAGTAAAGCACCTGCTTAGCAAGTACAAAGCCCTGAGTTCAAATTCCCATACTGCCACCCCCCCACACACAAATACACTACATACACATATAGCATTTATAACATACCAAAATAATAGTAATAATATACTTACAAGTATACAAAATATGTTAGTTCTTTAAGGGCAAAATTGTAAAACTTAAACACTAAAGAAGATATAAATAAATGGAGAGATATATTATCTTCATAGGCAGAATAATTTGATATAAGTTGTCAATTCTCTTCAATTTGATATACAGATTTAATGCCATCCTAATCAAAATTCCAGTAAGACTTTTGTGAAACTTAAGCTGGTTTTAAAATGAATAAGTATACTCCTAAAGAAGTGGAATAGGTGAACAACTTCTCTACCTGCATTCAAGCTGTATTATAAAACTGTAGTAATTAAGTGATTAGGTATCAGCCTAGGGACTGACAAAGAAAACAATGGAACAGAGAACAGAGACTAGAAATGTGCATGGTTTGACTATGGTTTGAATGTGCTAGAGCTTGGTTCCGGGTGTGACAGTGTTGAGAGATGGTGGAGCCTTTAAGAAGTGGGCCCTAGTAGAAGATAATTAGTTCACTGGGGGCATCAACTTTAGGAGGGCTTAATATAGTCTTCCCAGGACCCTCATTAGTTCCCAAGAGTGCTTATAAAGAGAGGAAGCATGGCTCCTGAACCTCTATGCTTCTTGTCTCACTATGTGATCTTTACCTCTCATATATGTTCTCACCATGATACCATCCCACAATGATGTGACACAGCCAAGGTGAGAGGGGGGCTCCCCAGAGGCCAAACAGATGGGTGGTTGGATCTTGGACTTTCAGCCTCCAGAACTAGGAACTAAATAAACCTCTTCATAAAGTACCCAGCTGCTGATACTTTGTTATAGCAACAGAAAATGGGTAAGTACACTATCTATGAACTTGTATCTGCACTGCAGATCTGTGAAGAAATGAGGGATTATTCCATAAGTGATTCTGGAACAGATATTTATAAAAAAAACCAAAATGAACCTTTAATTTATAATATACCCTAAAATCAATCCCACCCTTGATTAACGTCTTAAATGGGAAAAGCAAAATTATAAAGCTTTTAGAAAAAAAAAAAACTATCTTTATGACATCAAGTTAAGTATTTCTCAAACCTAAATCAAAGTTCTAACCCTACACAGAAATATTTTAGGGTATTAAAAAAGTTCTAACCCTAAAGAGAAATATTAATTAATTTTACCACATTTAAATTAAAATTTTCTTTTCTGTATAGTAATTAAGCACAAATTGAGAGACCATATTTATAACACATATTATAATAAAGAATTGGCATGGAGAAATATGCAAACATCCTGCTAGCAAAATTAAAAACAATTGAACAAAAAATGTGCACAAGTCATATAGGACTTCACGCAGGAACAAAAATATGAAGAGCTAAAAGTGTTACAGAAGATGTTCAGCTGTGATTGTTTATGAATTGGGAAATGCATAATGACATCACAATGAGATATAATTTTATATTCACTAGATTGGAAAAGATATAAAAGTCTGACAATACAAGTTCAGGGAAATACATGAAGTAATGACAACTCTGATATTCTGCTGGTGAGAGTATAAACTGCTACACTTACATAAAAAGTCTACATGGTATTGCCTAATAAAATTGAAGACACACATACCTGTAACTCAATGCTAGTTACTTACTTGTAGTTTCTGTAGTAGGCAGAGTTATCAAATGATCTCCAAGCTTCCTGCCCCCCACCCTTCCACAGTTGTATACCTTCCATGTAGTCCTTCGGTGTTAGATGGGACCTATGAATGTGATGAATAGTCACTTCCTTGATTAACTTACTCTTACATAAGAAGCCATTTTGTAGAAGTCAGAAATGTTCTGCTATTAGCACTGAAGAAGCACACTGTGAAATCATGAAAAGCTCCATGTGGCAGGCAACAGTGGGCAACCTCTCTGAGCTGAAGTCTCAGTCTTACAGTTATAAGGAACTGTCAGCAATCAGTGGGGGGTGGAAGAGGACCCAGAGCCTCAGATGAGACTGCAGCACTGAGGCCCTAAGCAGAGAGCCAGGCTCTGCTGTGTTAAAATTTCTGACTTATAGAACTTTGAGATAAACAAGTGTTGACTTATGTGACATTTGTGGTAATTTGTTATACAGCAATGGAAAGCTACTATATTCTTTTACATGGAGACAGGTGTAAGAAGGTCTAAAGTAACACTTTTCTAGGACTTTTCTTGTTTTTCTTTTCCTTTTTTTTTTTTTGAGACAAGGTCTTGCTATGCAGTTCAGGCAGATCTGAAACTTGAGATCCTCCTAAGAGCTGGGATTACAGATATGTACCACTACACATAGCTCTAGAACTTTTCTTTCTAAAAGAAATAAAAGTTCACTTAGTGGAACATGAATAAATTAATTATAGTAAATTCATACTATGAAATATGACACAATAGTAAAAATAAATGAACTATAGGTACATTACATTGTCAAGTGTAACACTGAAGGAAAAACAGGCAAGTTGTAGAATGCATATCTACATAGTATGAGTTTATATTTTATTCCTTCAAATATTTTATTTTTTTGTGGTACTGGGGTTTGAACTCAAGGTCTCACACTTGCTAGGCAGGTACTCTACCACTTGAGCCACTCTACCAGTCTCAAATATTTTATTTTTATAGAGGAAAGAGAGACCCAAGGAATCAGGAAGGGCACATAGGAGATGTCAAAATTTTGCTTCTTTAAAGTTGATGACAAGAAAAGGAAAAAAAAAAAAACCACAAAAATTAAAGCTGATGACAGGTGTGAGTATTCATTTTATAATTATTATTTATATACTATGCTATCTGTACATATTCTTTTGAATCCATAAAATACTTTAAATGAGAGAAATAATTTGCAAGTTTTACTATCACTCATTTAAACCTAAATCTTTCTGAACTTTGTGTATGCATGGATGTACTACATGGTCAGACAAATATTAGAATATACAGGGCAATGGAAACCTAAGAACTAAACTTGTGGCCAAAAGCCTCCATTTCAAAATTTCAAAGTGACTCTCTCTTAGACACTACAATTACCTCCTAACTGGTATCCCTATGTTTCACTCTTGTTCCTGATCTGCACCCAAGTATCTGGCTAAACACAATGTCACAGCCCTCTACTGACTTTCTATCACATTTCCATGGCTCCACAAGCTCTTGCCCCTACCTATTTTGGGATCTGATTTTATTCCCCTCTTCCCATGTGCCCTAGCCACAGAACATATCCTAACATTTTTTGGTGCTAATATCTATAATGCTAATGTGTACCTTTAATAAAATTCAGGCATTGGGCCAGGTATGATGGTGCACTTCTGTAATCCCAGCCACATGGGATTCCATAGGTAGTAGGGATTGCATGATCTGAGGCAAGCTCAAGCAAAAAGCTCAAGACTCTACCTGAAAAACAAAAAAGCAAAAAAGACTAGGTGTGTGTCTCAAGTATACAGTGCTTGCCTACCAAGTGCAAGGTACAGAGTTCAAATTCAGTAATACCAAGAAATAAATAAAATAAAATAAAATTCAGGCATTGTTTTATTGACATCAGGTCATGAGTAGCAGCCTATTTTCCATTTGTTCTGGGGAACTTGGGGATATTTATTGTCATTTTGCTTTCTTATGATGTCGCTCAATTTTTTTTCATCATCGTCATTATCCACTACATCTGAAGTTCTCTTTTTTTTTTATTGTTTTATTATTCATATGTGCATACAAGGCTTGGGTCATTTCTTCCCCCTGCCCCCACCCCCTCCCTGAAGTTCTCTTAATTGTTGTTCTAAGATACATCTTTAGCTGGATGTGGTGCTACACATCTGTAATCCCAGCACTTGGGAGGCTGAGGCAGGAGGATTGAGAGTTCAAGGTTAGCCTGAGTTACAGAATGAGACCCTGTTTCAAAATATAAAATAAATACTGAATGTTTACTTTTTTCCATCTTTCCTGCTATCATTTTTTTTTTTTTTTGGCAGCACTGGCATTTGAATTCAGGGCCTCATGCTTGCCAGGCAGGTGCTCTTACATCTTGAGTCACTCTACCAGCCCTTTTTTTGTGATGGATTTTTTTCAAGATAGGGTCTTATGAACTATTTGCCTAGGACTGGCTTCAAACTGTAATCCTCCCTGATCTCTGCCTTCTGAGTAGCTAGGATTACTGGCGTGAGCCATCAAAACCCAGCTCTTGCTACATTAGTCCAAAACACTATCATCTCTTACCTGGATCAATTCAACAGCCCCACGGTCTCCTTTAATCCTTACTGCCCTCTGCAGTACATTCTCCACACTATAGCCACCGATGACCTTATTAGAACATGAATTAGGTCATGCTACTCCCCTCCTCAAAGCTTTCTATGTCTTTCCATCACAACATGACCCTGCCTGCCACTCCAAGTTTATCTTTCTCCTGCACACCAGAGTCACAGTGGCCTTCTGACCACTGCGCAATAGTCATGCTTGTTACTGTAATTCTCAGGATCTGTGCTTGAGCATCACTCTACCTGGACACTACTTCTACTTTGTATCTTTGTGAGTCAGCTCCTCCTCATCAATCAAGGATCAGAAGTCCCCTCTTAGGAGAAGCCTTCTCTGACCACTCTAGCTAAAGCAGGGCTCCTAGTCACACTGTAGCATCTTACCCAGTTTTATTTTTTCTCACAACACATTGCTTTTTAAAAAAAAAAAATCTCATTTATTTCATCTATAATAAACAGATGAAGTGCTGAAAACTATCTCCTCCCCACCATGTAGGAAACATGTCTGTCCTGCTTGCTGTTCCTTCTCAGCGTACTGTGGATGAAAAGAATTACATGTTGAATGAATGACCCCCTGCGGACTTGGTTCAGATTTGTCTTTGAACAAGTGTTCAAGTTTAATAGCCTGAGTATTTTAGATATTTATTCAGTTATAGTATGCTTCTCGAAGCGAAGCATATGAACAACAACAAAAAAACCCATTTTATTAACTTCTGAATTCATATTTCCTCTTCTTGGTTTTTTATTTTATTTTTGGCAGAAGTAGGGTTTGAACTCAGGGCGTCATGCTTGCTAGGCGGCTCTCTATCACTTGAGCCACTTGGCCAACCTTCTTTCTTATTTTTAAAATATAATGAGGATAGCTAAGCACTGGTGAACAGAACACAAAGAATGGAAAAAAACAAAACAATGTTTTACTCCCAAAACTAGAGAAGTTGTTTCCCAATCATAACCTAGATCTGTTCATGCCATTTTACCTTCAACATATAGAAAATACTCACTTTATAGGTAGAACTTTTAGGGATTTAAGATTTCTGAAAGTTATTTTTTCTTATAAATACTCTGGTTTTCTACTGATTTAAAGAATGAGAGACTAGCCGGGCACTGGTGGCTTACACCTGTAATCCTAGCTACTCAGGAGGCAGAGATCAGGAGGATCGTGGTTCGAAGCCAGCCTGAGAAAATATTTTGTGAGATCCTATCTTGAAAAAAACCCAACACAAAAAAAGGGTTGGTGGAATGGCTCAAGAGATTATAGAGTGCCTGCCTAGTCAGCAGGAGGCTCTAAGTTCAAACCCCAAAGTAGCTCCCCCCTCCAAAAAAAAAGTAATTAGCTACTGATAATAGATTTTCTACAAACACATGGTTTTGTAGGCCATTCATTCATTCAACATACATATGCGTTAACCACACTGTAGGCAGTGTGCTAAAGAGGTAGCATGATATTACTGCTCAGTTTCTGCCTAGGTTAGCTGGAAAGACAAAGTGCCACATGCAGAGTAACAGAGGCACAAACAAGGCTGCTTAGTTGGAGGATCAGGGAAAGGGTCCCAGTGGAAAGGGGACACCTGGGAGGAGTCTTGAGAAAAATGGATAAGAGAAAGGAGAGGAGCTCCAGACAAAGAAAAGAAAAATCTCAAGTATAAAGGCATATTGACTAGAGAAAATGGCAAACATCAGAATCACAAGAGCAAACATGAGGGACAGCCAAAGAGATCAGGCTGTAAATGTGGGCAAGAGTGGCCCATGTGCTACACCAAGGGATTCTGATCTAGCCTTTATGGACCTGAGGTTTCTCTAGGACAAAACATTTGTTTTCAACTTGACAAAAATCTAAAAAAGAAAAAAGAATTTTGACAGAAGGATACTCTGAATCATCTGAACCAACACCTTTTACTTGCATGCTATCTCAGATTTAGTTCACATGTTTGTGTTTAGGAGAACACTGCTCAATAAATTGTACCATTTGTCATTCATGCAGGATAAGAAATGGGGACTAATGCACGTAAATGATGTCAAGTGATGGTCATGACACACTGAACAAAGATAGATTTTGCAGTGTTTTAAATAAAGAAGGGGGAGCCGGGCGCTGGTGACTCACACCTATACTCCTAGTTACTCAGGAGGCAGATATCAGAAGGATCACAGTTCGAAGCCAACCCCAGACAAAAAGTTTGTGAGACCCTATCTCGAAAAAACCCATCACAAAAAAGTGCTGGTGGAGTGGCTCAAGGTGAAGGCCCTGAGTTCAAGAGAGTGAGAGAGAGAGAGAGAGAGAGAGGAAAAAGAAAGGAAGGAAGAGGCATTGAGTAATCTCTCAGTACTGGGATAACAAGAATAGGCCTTTCTGTAAAGAAGGTACACCAGAGGACAGGATAGATTCACTTTTAGAATTCTTTAGGTCTCATTGGCCACAATAAATACATATTTATTTGAATTTATTGGTTTTTATAATTTTGCTTCATTTAACTTATTTGGTGTTATAGCCGCATAAAAGATACAATATAAGGAGTCTATACCTAGTTTTATAATTGGATATATCTAACATACTGAAAATATTTTAATAATGGAGGATCTTGTGTATTGATCCTAGTTTGAGAGATTCTGCCATGGGAGCCACTGAAAGACTGTAATTTGCCAAGTGACAGCTTTATGCTTTAGAAAAATCACTTGTGTTGCTTGGGTCATGGCTTAAGTGGTAGAGCACCTGCCTAACAAGTGTGAGGCTCTGAGTTCAAACCCCAGTATAGCCAAAATAAAATAAAATAGAAAAATCCCTCTGGAAAAAGCGTGGATTGGTTGGAATTAAAAATACTCAAAGTAATAGGCAGATAGAATAGTTAGGTGGCTACTTAACAATGCGGGGGCGGGGGGGAATGGAGAGGCCTTAAATTAATTACTCAGATGAAATGAAGATGGGCTAGACAAGAGAACTGAAAGGACTTGAATGTTGATAAGGGAGAGTGTAGAATTCGTCTCCCTTGGGTGAGTTGGTGGTAAGATAAAGACCACAGGAAGACACAAGGGGCAAAGAGAAAAAAAGGGAATCCGAGTTCATTTCAGCAATGATTTGAATTTCATTTCGGTCAAAGAAAATCCAGTTATTTTTTTTTTTCTGAGTTCCAGTTTTCTCAGTGACAGCTGCATTCACAAATTAACAATTGTAGCAGCTTCCTAAAAATATACAAAGCACTCCACTGTATGCTGTAAACAAGTCACCGAAAATCAGCAAAAGCCAGGCTCTAAAGGAAATGTAGCAAGGTTAAAAACAGATACGGCTATTTTTTACTAAATGTTAAAATTGTGCCTCAGTGCACTCACCCAGTACTGTACTTTCTGAGCGATCAGCCAAATGCGATCACTCATTTTCCTGAGCACCTATGAGCCAGTGCCAAGTCCACGTGGGAGACAACAGAGCAATGGGACACTTCTGGCATTCAGTCTACCGAAAAATCAGTGTGCTGCCAACTCTGAACACTAAGGCAGGGTTAATTAACAAAGCATATTATCTTTTACTTAGAAAAATAACCTGGATAATCTTAGGCACTCCAATAAGAATGTAAGCATTTCATATTTTATTCCCTATAAGGAGAAAAATGGAAGCAAGAAAGGAAAACACAGCAATTTTTGCAAAAGAAAAAAAAAAAAAAAAAAAAAAGGCCGGTGACGCCGCAGGCCACACAGAGGCAGGCCTCTGGGAAAAAGTCATTCCATCCTAGTTTGGTGGGAAATCCAGTATCTTCTACCACTAATCATAACACAAAAGCACAGTGTTTCTACATCCAAAATGTTTAACCCTCAACCTCATCCACAACGTCCAAAGTGCGGCTGAAGGGAAAGTCGCGGGGCGTACCTTTGGAGGGTCGCACTCGACACAACGCCCCTTCAGGGCAGCTGGCGAGGGCCTCCCAGAGCGGAAATCAGGGGTTGACAGAAGTCGGGGTACCGGGGCGGTAAGGAACGGATCCCCGAGTGCACCTCGCACATCAGAAGCCGGACCATGAGGCTGCAGGACAGCGGCCCAGAGCCCATGCGCACAGCCGGAAGCCGCACCCGCCCCGTAGCGCCTCAGCTCAGCTTTACTAGTCGAAGAGGCGTGTCGGGGGGCGTGGCCCCGGCGGGCTGCCTACGAGCCGCGGTCGCACCTTGCGTCCCCCTTCCCCGCCCCCCGCCCGCTGCCTGATGGGATTTGTAGTTCTGGGAGGAAGCCAGAGGGCACGGGGAACTACATTTCCCGGTGAGGGCCGCGTCGCACAGTGGCGTCGCACTGTCCGCCGCGGGAGAGCGTCTGAGGCGCAGGCTGGACGCGTTTGATGTTTCATTTTTTTTCTCTACGCTCTGGCGGTGCTACTCTGCTTTCCCTCCCCTCGCCTCTGGGTGCCCAGCGCCCGGCGTGGTGTCAGCTTTTCCGTGAGGTTCGGGGTGGCGGCTGCAGCCCCGCGCGGAAGTGAGGGGCGTGATCCTCTCCGGTCCAGCGGTCCGCGTCTCCATGGGTCCGACCCGAAAGCCCAACGTGTGCATCCGGCTGAGTCTCCGGGCGCTGGGCTTCTTCGCACGCGATGCGGGCGTGGGGCAGAGGATGAACCTGGGCATCCTGCGGGCGCTGGTGTGCCAGGTGACCGCCCGCGGGCTCGGGCCCCCTGCTAGGGTGCAGTGTCACGCGCTTGGATCCCTTTTGAGAGACTCACTGAGATGGGGAGGGGAATAAGTGCCGGGCACCCGGGGGAATTGGTAAATTGGTGTTAACTAAGCCGCCAGATGGTTTTAGTTTAAAGCTTTTTATGCTTTCCTGCAAACAGTCATTTAAGGTTGAGCACCCAATTAAGCCAAAACGTAAGGGCAGAACGAGGAACAATTAATGTTTTTAAGTAACACATGTGGAATTACTTCGAAAACGGTAAATTTATGTAACAAAATAAATGCACAATAGAGGTTTGAATTCTTAAACCAAAATTCCTTGTGTCTTTCAGGAAAGTACTAAATTTAAGAATGTTTGGACAACTCATTCCAAGTCACCTATAGCCTATGAGAGAGGAAGAATATATTTTGACAATTATCGGTGCTGTATTAGCAGGTAATCTTTTAGTGATAATTTTTGCAGTAATTCACTTGGCTGTAATTTTTATTAGAACCATATGCCAACTTAGTGCTTTGTGAAATAGGAAAAATGGAAAACAGCTCAAAACTAAAAATAGGTGGTAAAAAGCATGTAATTACAAAATCTGGTTAAATCAAAAGCTGTAGGTTTCATCTTTGTAAATAACAGTTTAAAGCAAAACTACTTTATAATGTAGGCAAAATGATACATTGCTGAGAGTACTATTTACTGTTTTATAATTAAAGATACCACGGTCTGGTGGAGTGGCTCAAGTGGTAGAAGGCACAGTCAAGAATGTTGGTCACTAGTAAATAATTAAATGCTGCTTCGGAGAAATCTGTATTTTGTTTTGGAAGTAGTTTTGAGGAGGCGGTACTGGGGTTTTGAACTGAGGGCTTTGAGCTTGCTAGGCATGCTCTCTACCACTCCCAGTCCCCCTCCCTCTTTTTTTTTTTTTTTTAATATGGAACTCTTCACAAATTTGCATCTCCTCCTTGCTATGCCAATCTCTGTATTGTTCCAGTTTTAGTATATGTGCTGTGAAGCGAGCGCTTTTCCCCCACCTTTTTTTAGGAGAAAAAAATTCAAACAAAAACAGTATTTCTAGATCCAAAATATTTAACAACCTCATCCACAACCACGCAATGTGAGGCTGACGGGAAAGCCCCAGTGAGCACTCTCCCCTCATCTATTACCTAGATTTATCAAGAGTTGCCAGTGGTGGGGGGGGGAGGGGTTGGAAAGAGTAGACACACTTGCTTCATCTCAAGCCCCCTCTTTCATTGTCAAGTATTTTAAAGCATATTTTAAGCATAAATACTTACATTTACATCTCTAAGAATTATGGGTATTTTCTTTTTAAGAGCTTTATTAAGATAGTCGCATACCATACTTTCACGGATAGTCACAACCATCACGACAGTTACTGTTATATTTTTATTGTTGCAGTTCAGAACCCAAAAGGATGATCTTGAATGCTGTAATTCTAAATTGAAATTCCAAAATTCCTAAAATCCAAAATGACAATCCTAAAAGATTAAAGTGAATTTTGAAGTCCTGGAAGCCAAAATCCCGAAAACTAATTCCCATTGTCGGGGAGAAAAGGCTATATAAAAAGGCTAGAGCCAGGCGCTGGTGACTCATGCCTATTATCCTAGCTACTCAAAAGGCAGAGATCAGGAGGATTGTGGTTTGAAGCCAGCCTGGGCAAATAGTTTGCGAGATCCTATCTAGAAAAACCCTTCACAAAAACAGGGCTGGTGGAGTGGCTCAAGGTGGAGTGGCTCAAGGTGAAGGCCCTGAGTTCAAGCCCCAGTACCACAAAAAAGAAAAAAAAAAAAAGGCTAGAATCAAATTCTGGAGAAATAATGTGCATTTGATTTTATGTTTCATGGGTAGTACAGGTTCTCAGAAACAGAGTGTTCCTAATTCCTTCTCCTTATCTGGAGTTGTTCAAATGGTAGAATGCCTACCTACCAAGCATGAGGCCCTGAGTTCAAACCTCAGTACTGCCAAAAAAATAAATGAAAGAGAAAAAGAAAGAAAAAACCCCCACCTAATTCCTCCAGTAATGTTTTTATAACATTACTATCATTCATTTTACTTAATCTTATGCTAAAATCATTTGAATACCTTGTTGCTGTTTTTATTTTGAACAAATTTTTTACATCAATAAAAATTAAGAAAAACAAGAGATTTTGTTTTACCTTCATTTATTACTTCTCTAACACTTTTAAATTCTTTATGTAGACCTGAGTTTCTAACTTCATTTTCTGTCTCTCTGAAAAAAAAAATTTTTTTGGCAGTACTAGGTTTGAAGTTAGGACCTTTGTGTATGCTAGGCAAGATCTCTGTCAATTGAGCCATGCCTCTAGCCTCCTTTTTCTTTCTTGTTTTTTTTGTTTTGTTTTTTTGTGGTTGGGTCTCACTATATTGCCTAGGCTGGGCTCAAACTTGCAATCCTCTGGCTTCAGCCTCCCAAGTAACTGGGGATTACAGACATGAACCACCATGCCTGGTTTGAAAAACTTTACATTTCTTACCAGGCAGATCTATTGGCAGTATATCCTTGAAACTCTTGTTTGTCTGAGAAAATAATATTTTTCTCCTTCACTTTTGAGGGATAATTTCTCTGGATACGGTAATTCTAGGCTACTGGGTCTTTTTTTGTTTAACCCTTTATATACTTCATTCCACTTTTTCTTGTTTGCGTGTTCTCCAAGGAGAAGTTCTATGTAATTCTTACCTGTATTTCTGTATTTAAGATACTTTTTTTGCCCTCTGGAAACCTTCAAGATTATCTCTTTAAAAAAAAAATTCTGTCTTTTCTGTTGTTTGAATATGATATACCTAAGTGTAGGGCGTTTTTGGGTTTTTTTTGGTATCTGTTCTGTTTGGTGTTCTCTGAGCTTCATTGATTTTTGATTTGCATCTGTCCTTAATTTTGGAAAATTCTCAGCCATTATTTCAAATATTTCTTCTGTTTCTTTTTCCTGTGGCATTCCATTACATGTATATTACATCTTTTCTCTCATCCAAGTACTAACTAGGCCTGACCCTGCTTAACTTCCAAGACCAGATGAGATTAGTGCGTTTACTGTCATATGGCTGTAGACATATTACACCTTTTCTTGTCCCAGAGTTCTTGAATATTCTATTTTGCTTTTTCTTTTTCCTCTTTCTAGTTTGGGGAGATTCTGTTGACCTATCTTTAGGCTCACTGATTGATTTGTCAGCTGCACTCAGTCTACTGATGAAACCATCAAAAGCATTCTTGGCGGGGAGCATTGAGCTCAGGGCCTCACACTTGCTAGGCAAGCTCTCTTACTGCTTGAGCCACTCTACCAGTCCTTTTTTGTGATGGGTTTGTTCAAGACAGGATCTTGTGAACTAATTGCCTGGAGCTGACTTTGGACCGAGGTCCTCCTGATCTCTGCCTCCTGAGTAGCCAAGATTACAGGCATGAGCCACCAGTGCCCTGCTACCAAAGGCATTCTTCATTTCTGTTACAATGTTTTTTATATCTAGCATTTCCTTTTGGGTTTTTCCTTAGTATTTTTATTGTTCTGTTAAATCTGCCCATGTCTTCTCTCTTGTTCACTTTTTCCATTAGAGTCCTTACCATATTAATCATAGTTCTTTTAAGCTCCTGATCTGATAATTCCAAAATCTGTCATGTCTAAGTCTGGTTCTGATGGTTGCTTTCTTTTCAAACATTGTATTTTGCCTTTTAGTGTGCCTTATAATTTTTTTTGTTGGAAACTTAATATATTGAGTAAAAGCAATTGAGGTAGATGGGCCTTTAGAATGAGATTTTCTTTATCTAGGTGGGAGTTAAGCTATTAGTGTTGGCTATAAGTATGGGTATTGGGTTAAAATTTCCTTAGTGTTCTTAATTTTATCTCCTCATCATTGGCTTGTTTCTGTGTTTTTGCTCTTGCTAAGCTAAGAGCAAATCTTGCTAAGATTCTGTGGATCTGCCTTTCTAGTTTTGTGGGCAACAGTTTGCCTTGTGACCTCAGTTCTCTGAGAGATCTAAGAATAATTGTTAGTTTTTAATTTGTTCAGTCACTTTCTTGTGAGAAAAGAATGACAACTTCCAAGCTTTTTTCATGTTGGACCAGAAACCAGAAGTTAGAGAGGATAGTCAGCATTTGAGGATAGTCAGAAGTTGGAAAGGAGTCAGGAAGGCTCCTTTCAGTTATCTTTTTCTGTTTCTCTTTGACAAATCAGCCATCCTAGAGTTATAGCCTGAATCTCCAAATGAATATACCAGTCTCCTCCCATTCAACACAACCCTCACTGGTTTTACAAGTGCACCTAAGCTTGAACTTCTCCACATCTGTTATGAATAAAGTCAAATTTTTCTGGAAACGGACTGTTTTATAGGATTGTTGTATGACCTGCTTCTCCTTAAAGATCAAGCAAGATCTTTAAGCCACCTCTCTAGAGTTGGGAGTAGGCGTCAACAGCACATTTCTTTCTGAGTGACACCCCTACAGTAAAAGCTGAGCATCTGAGGTTGAGGGAATACTAGTCTTACATCTCAACTTGCCTCTCTCCAGATGGAACTACTACTGAAAAGGGATAAGGCCAGGGCCTATTATGCTCAATCATGCTACACCCAAGGGAGAGCCTCAATTTCATGAGTGGGCCTAGACAGAAGAAGGGAGTCCTACCACAAGACTACAATAACACAGACCTAGTCAACAGATAGCTGGGGGCTGTATTAAAAATGTTGCCATCCTCCTGGGAAGATAGCACTGAGAATGGAAACAGCAGCTAGAGAGAGCCCTGAGAGCTTGGTTGCCACAGTTTGGAGTTGAGTTACCATCATGTTGAGCTGGGAGGGGTGAGAAAGTGAGCATGTCCTGATTCAAATACCACAGGCTCCCACTGTTCTTACTGAGCTCTAGTAGGTTTTCTTGAATAAATTTTGTGTGCTCTATGTCCCCAGGACCATTTTCAGAGCTTTTAAATGGTTGTCCTTTATAATTCTCATCAGTTTTGCTATAAAGTATCTACAACATCCCTCAAGCTGTCATTATCATAATGTCATTATTACACCTAGCAAAAATATCAATGACTTTTCTATCATTTAATTCCCAGTTCATAACTTCCCAAAGTTGTAAGTAGTTGCTTTAATTTAAAAAATTTAAATTGGAGTAAAAGCCATTGATTTGTCCTCCAACAGTATATAATACAGAATTCTTTATCATGCCACCCAGGGGTGTTTTACCCACGTGTTAGAATCACATATGCGGTTGCTTTCATTACTGCAAAATTCTGTTTTGATTTAAATGTTTGAACAAGAGAATATGAAAGGTAAATAAAATGTCATCCAAAAAATTGTTTTCTTTTAATAGTTTCCTTTAATAGTTTTCCTTTAATAGTTAAATTTCAAAGTTCATTTGCTTAAAAAAAAATGAAAACATCTATGATCAAATCTCAGTAATAATCAGGGAAGTATAAATTAAAAGTAAGAGATTGGGTGTGGTGATGCTTCTGTAGTCCCAGCTACTCGGGAGGTGAGGCAGGAGGATCACTTGAGTACAGGAATTTGAGGCCAGCCTGGGCAACACAACAGACCCTATCTCAAAAGTAAATAAAAAATAAAAGAGACTATTTTTCATACCACAGATACAGTGTTCCATATTGCTAGAAGTATAAACTTTTTCAACCTTTCCAAAAGATAATTTGGGAATAAAAATATTATAAAGAAGCCAGGCACTGGTGGCTGGTGGGGCTCAAGTGGTAGAGCACCTGCCTAGCAAGCATGAGGCCCTGAGTTAAAACTCCAGTACCACGAAATATATATATATAATATATATATATATATATATTTGGTATATATATATATATATACCAAATAGAGAGAGAAAGAATGTGTGTGTATGAGAAAGTATTTCCTTTTTTATTCACTAGCTTTCATTCCAAAATAATGGGACCTTTTTTAACCTATAAATTTTCATTTTAAGTCTCAAAGCAATAGTTTATGAACTCAACAGAATTCAACAGAGATAGTAAATGTTCAGGGGAAAAGAATTCAGTGTGGTTCAATTTTAGAAAGCAATGTTCAGGTAGCTCTGTATATGTGGAAGATCTAGACAGAAATGAACCAAAATGTAGATGCTTATTTTGGTAGTTTTTTAGTACTATAAGATATTTTAATCTTACTGTATTTTCAGATTATTTCTATGAATGTATATTATGATTTCTGTGATCATAAAGAAAGGATAACATTTAGTTAAGAAGAGAAAAACAAATTGTAATTTGGTATTCCAAATCACTGTATGAAAGAAGTGTCTCAAATCTGGGCAAATACTGCGTCAGTTATTAAGAATACTGATTGTTTTTCTTTTTTCCCAGTGTTGCATCAGAGCCAAGAAAACTTTATGAAATGCCAAAATGCTCCAAATCAGAAAAAATAGAGGATGCTTTATTATGGGAATGTCCAGTGGTGAGATGGAGATTTGTTTTTAAAGCCTTTTGTTTCTGAAGTATTTTTAGCTTAGAAGAACTGGTTATTGTAAATATATCATATAAAAGGTTAAAATTTAAAAGTCATCATGATTCTTCAATCTTTAGAGGACCCAAAAAGGGAATGTATCTTTAGATTATCATTTTTCCCCAGGAACAAATATTATCTTAAATCATTAATGTTCTGGAAACATTTTTAAAATTAAATATATTTTTTAAATCTTGAAAACTAGGGAAATTTAGAAACTGATTAAAACTTTTATGGCAATGTAAGCTAGTTTATAATTCTTAGTATTTAAGAGATCATTCCATTTACCATACTGAAACAACAAGTTATTTTGTGCAACAATTGTATTATGTAGATCTTTTTGTGTGTGTGATACTGGGGTTTGAACTCCAGGCCTCAAACTTGCTAGGCAGGCACTATACCACTTGAGCCATTCTGCCCTAGACCTTTGAAAATGGATTGTTACAAGTTTCCTACATGAATCTAGTTAGAGAAATAATAAGATAAAAATGAAGTGATGGGATAAATTCCTTCTATCAGCTCTAACGTGTATTTTTCAGATCAGTGTTTTTGTAGGATGGTACCAGGTATACAAGTGCCACAGGAGTTGGGAGAAGTTGAGTTGTGGAACATTCTGAGTTCAAAAAGTTAAAAAGTTTTGTTATATAGTTACTTCTCAGAGTTTTTAATACTAATACTTATAATAATAATGTTAATAAAGATTATGAAACCATTTCCCCAAACACTTTTAATCGTAGAGCTTCCTTTTTTGAGGGAGATTTCTAAATACCAGTTTTCCGTGACATCGTTCTGAGAAATGCATTGGAAAATAGCACAACAAAGTAATTATGTCTTTGAATCTAATTGGTTGTTCTTCAGCAAAAATAAAGCTCCAATATGTGACCAAAAGTAATGGTTAAAGGTTAAAGGTGATATTCTAAATTTAGTGTTAGAAATTTTTTTCTGCCAGGGTGGTAGTGTATGCCTGTAATTCCAGCACTTGGGAGACTAAGACAAGAGGATCAAAGTTTGAGGCCCATCCAGGCAAAAAGTTACTAAGACCCCATCTCAACAAATAAGCTGTGCATTGTAATGCATGCCTATGATCATGGTCTGACTCCAGCCCTGGGCAAAAACATGAGACCCTATCAAAAAAAAAAAAAGCTAAAACAAAAATGGGGGTTGGAGTATGGCTCAAGTCGTAGAGCACCTGCCTTGCAAGTGATAGGGCCTGAGTTCAAATCGCAGTACCACAAAGAAAAGAAAAAAAAATTCCAGGCTGTTGTTTTTACAAAAAATTTTAGTTTTCTGGAATTGCTGTTTTCTTTTTCCCCCCCCGATATGTAGTCTCTGTTCATAGAATGCTCCTTTTTAAAACTTCGAAAGCTTGAAATCAGTTTTCTTCCTTCTATTGAAAGTTATAAATAACTGTTATGCCTCCAGCAATTTAAAACATTTTAATCCATGATCATTCCAGTGAGGGTAGAGAGATCATAGATTTCTTAATTAAGAATGTTTTGAATACACCATCACAAAACACCAAAAATTTAAACCAATCCTGCAAAAATTAAGTTTCCAGTAACTTCATTCCTATTTTCATTTCTTTAACATTTAAATACTTGTTCTCATTTGTGGTAAAGCAAGACTTTCCATTAAGAAGAACTAAGAGGAATATTATATTGTTAACGTACTATTGTATTGTGAAACTACTTTTCAGTTGGTACCCTCCTTTTTGAGACAGAGTGTGAAAAGCAATTTTTGATTTAGGAAAATAGTGCAAAATTATTATGTATGCTGTTTCATATGCTTTTTAAATGGACAAGGTATAAATAGCACATTTTAAGCTTTTAACTCTGCATGAAATGGTACTTACATAAGACATTGTAGAATAAAATATGTGCAACATTACCTATAAATTGAGTGTAAGATTTCCAGTAGTTAATAAGTTTAAAGGGGAGGGAGGGGGGTCTTGGCAGCTCATGTCTGTAAGCCCAGCTCCGTAAGAGCCCATGATAGGAGGATTGGGGTCTGAGGCTTGTCCTGGGCAAAACCCCGAGACCCTATCTGAAACAAACAAACAAAAAGCTACTATAATGTGGTTCAAGAGGTAGAGTGCCTGCCTACCTAGCAAGCAGGAAGCCCTGAGTTCCAACCCTAGTACCTCCACACACACAGAGAGAAATAAAAAGCAAACATTTCTCATTTGAAAGGGAAGACAAATCTCTAGGAGCATGTGCAAAATAACTGTACCAGTTTCTTTTTATTCACTTTTTCCCTAAGCATATACTACTTTAATTTCAACTTCTTTATTCTTATCTTTCCTCTTACAACTAATTCCACAATCCAAAGTCAAGGCTTTTCTCCTCTTTCTTGTCCTGTATTAGGCCTCCACCTTGTGGTAACACATTAATGACAGGATTGCCCAAGCAGCTGACCTCTCCTTTTCCTGGGCTATTTGTTGGTAACACAGGTTATCATTAAAACCAGGTTTCATCTTGTCTTTTCATTTCCTGATTTTAGCTTCTCATTTGAGGTTAGAGTAGAATCACAGTTGAATATTGAAATAATTTTCATTTTGCCACATTAACTTCCACCTAAAGGGAAACAAGTTCTATAATGAAAAGGGGACAATATGAATGTCTGTTCTGGCATGTAACTCTTAATAGCAATACTGTTAGATATGATTTTAAGTGTTATTACACATGATGTTAAGTGTTATTTTCACAGCAATAGTGTCATTATTAATACTCCTACTGTTACTACTGGCTAACATTTGTTGAATAATTAGTAACAAGTTATTTCAAGCACTATGAAGTGTTTTATATGAATAAACTCATTTAGTTCAGGCACTATTAAGTGTTTTATATGAATAAACTCATTTAGTAAGTTAATGATGAAAATAATTACCCTCAGTCTTATCTTTCCTTATCTTAATTGTTTACTCATACGTTTAATATTTTCTTTAGTTCACTTATTTTACCAACTTTAAGTATTTTGCTCTTTTCTTTGGATATTGGTTGCTACAAATTGCTCGTGGCTCAGTGGTTTTAGTTTTATGCCTCATTTATTTTTTTAGGGGGATGTTTTTACCAGTCCATCAGATTATGAGTCCTCACTCATAGCACTGACTGCTAATAATTGGCTACTTCGTATATCAGCAACCACAGGGAAAATCTTGGAGAAAATATACCTTGCTTCTTATTGCAAATTCAGGTATTTACTGTGAGTTTGTTATTTAAAATTTTGTTGTAAAAATTTGAAACTTGTGGCCTAGGAAATTTTTAGTCTCCCCCCCAACACACAACACACACACACACACATACATACACATATACACACCACTTTTCTGGTATATATCCTGGTCTCAATTTTATAAGCCTATTCTTTATCTCTTTTTCTTCTCTCACTTTCCTATACTTGAAGATCTGACAATACAGACCCACTATCATTTAACTTTGTGTCCCTAATAAGTAACTAACTTATACATGGTAGTTGACAAACTTTTTTTGTTATTTAAGTGCTACTATTTTACAAACAGTATTTTCTCTCTGTAGGGTATACTTTATGGTAGGTTTTCCTGGAAGGTAGTCTGTTTCAGTTAAATTATTTGCTTAGTACAATCCAAAAATTGTTAAACTATAAATTAGATGTCAATTTTTGAAGTGAATATGTGTATGTAATTTGTGAAAGTAATTTTTAAAATACTTTTTTGTAACTCCCATTTTAAAGTAGAAATGGTTATTTTTCTAAGGTTTGAATGAATACTCTTAGATCAAAACCAATTTTTATTCATTAAGACTCAGAGGATTAAAATTTATATTTTAAATAGAGATATATCCATATAGGGATCTGGAAGGAATATTTTTAGCTTAAACAACTTTTTTAAAAAAACAAATTACTTTGCTTTTATAATTTAAGTGAATAGAAAACTTTATGAAATATCTATAATGTTTTACTTTTAAGTATAAGGAAACTGATTCAAAACATTAAATATCTCTTAATTCTTTTAAAAGGTACTTGAGCTGGGACACTCCTCAAGAAGTTATTGCAGTCAAGTCAGCTCAGAACAAAGGCTCAGCAGTGGCCCGGCAGGTACACATCATTAAACATTCAATAAACCAAGAATTTGCTGCCTTAGGAATTTCTGCACATTAGTTATGAAAGAACTAGATCTTGATTTTTTTTTAGATCTTGATTTTTTTTTAGCATGCTATTAAAGTTTGAAGGTAATTTTTTTCTGAAGCATGCTATTAAAATAGTCTCAGTCTCTCTCTCTCTCTCTCTCTCTCTCTCACACCCTCCTTTCCTCCTACTCCTTCTCCTCCCTCCTTTTTCCCCCTCCCTCCCTCCCTTTCTTTCTTTAATGCTCTCTCTTTATACCCTCATTATGTTGCCCTCTGCTTTGGTAAAATTCATAAAATTGAAGTAGTGTAGCAGAGTAGCAAAACATTTTATGAGAATTATAAAAGTGTCTTGTCTAATGTATTTTTCTAAGCATTTAAATTCCTGAAGAGTAGTACTTAAGTCTAATTCCATAGTGGTAATTGTTAAGGTTTTTTATTTACCATTATTTGATAATGTTAGTAAAAGTTTTGTCGATATTTTTAAATTTTAGACTGTTTTTCCACAATCCTTAACTAACAAATTGTAGTAATGCTTGATAAGGATATATAAACTATATCTTTGGGTTTTAGGAACATGGAAGGAGTCTGATTTACATCTTGAAAAGCTTAGCTTAACAAAAATATATCCCTTTGAAAGGTAGATTCTTGGGCTTTAAATATTACAGGTTTTTTGGGGGTTTTTTTATTTGTTGTTTTCTAACTTTTAGTTATGGTGATGGGGCAGTCACCTTGGTCTACCACAAATTTAAGAAATTCCCTTGAAGCCTCTACTGGGGAAGTACAACAGATTATTTTATATTTCATAATGAAAATCAAATAACTAGAACTTGTTCTTCAAAGTAAGGGTGCTCTCTTCATGCACAGAAATCACTCAAGCTTTTATTGTTGATACTCTTATTTCATATGGACTGATATCAGTGTAACTAATTTCAGTGACAGGAGTAAAACTCCATGTCTTTCAGTTAGGTTCTTTATTGTTAGAACTCCAATTTGCGATATAATTACACAATATTTTGTTGCTAAGAAGTGTTTACTGTTATGTTTACTTTATGTGTATCTGAAGAGCTGAAGGTTTAATGGACATTTTAAATATGTTTGCCTTCCTGTTTAAGAAACCTTTCAATTTGATAGATAGATGGATGTTTTCAATTCATTATACCTCTGCATAACTGCATGCTAGGGCAGATGAATGTTTCAACTCATGAAAATGGAGTGTTTCTGAAGTCCTTTAGAGAGCTGCCTATAATTTTAGTCTTTCCTTTTAGGCAGGCGTTCAGCAGCCTGTTTTATTGTACCTTGCAGTGTTCCAAGTTCTACCTTTTTCACTTGTAGGGATTCTAGAGATCAACAAAAGGGTAAGAAATCATTTCTTATTTGATTGCAATATTTCATTGACAATAAGATGTAATGTCATCATTAATTATTTAGTAGATGCTTTGATTGGGAATGTTTCCCTGTCTATAATATATTCATTGATTGGGTTTATTTCATATCAAAATAAATAAGAACATTTGATTTGAGAAGAGAGCCTAATTATTCCTTTCTCTTTCTGCATGTTTTTATGCCTCTCAGGTGGACAGTGTTGGAAAACTGTGGTCATTAACAAAGTGCTGTTTTATAAAATTAGGAAATGCCTAAGGCATTTTTTTCAGAAGGAAAATTTCTAAAGTTTGTTAAAATGATCAATAAGATGTAATAAAATGTCTCATTTTAATTGCAAGGTATAGATCTAAAATTAGTTTTATGTTATATAAACATCATAATTAGATATGTAAATTTTCCAACTCATTCGGTTTTGGGGTTTGTTATTTTTCTTAATTTGTAGAGTAGTTATATGAGGAAAGAAGGACAAATTTCAGTTGAGTAAAAAGAATTAATAATCCTATTTTCCTTTTAAAAATTGTGACTTACTCTGGGTGAATAGTTATTATTAAGCTCTTCTAATCTTAAGCACCTTAAGTATTGTAGAGGATGGGATCTTGAGGATCTACTAATGTTCACCAGTAAACAAGATGAATATATTTAAACATTTTTATATTATGTAAGCATGATATACTAAACTGCATAAACTAAAGAATGAAAATAGTTTTCATTTATTAATTGTTTATCTTGTGCCAGGCACTTTGAGTACTTTAAAGCATTGTAACATAATCTCCTAAGAAGTTAAGCAGCTAATCCTGAAGGTAGTAAATGGGAAGCTAGATTTTGAACCCAGATTTGACAACGTTTAAAACAAATTTTAAAAGACTAGCTACTTTATTATAGCACTCATTATTTCAAAATATGTTTGCATTACACAAGTCCTCCTTTTCAACATGTAGAACCAGGATCAATAAATTAAAAAATCATGAGCTACTCAACTCAAAGCAAACCATAATTATCTTTCTAAGATAATGACTCAAAAAAAAAGGCACAGCTCATAATTTAATTGTTCTTTTTATGCCTGTGGATTACAACAGGAGTGAACACTTAGCAAAGTCATAAATTATTTCTGTTTATTCTTACATATCCAAAGTAATCATTTGAGGGATTTAGTTTTGATTACTATTACTTGGGATTAAAGTATGTCTTTTACTTGCTATGTAAATTAAGACTACCCAGGGGCCAGCATCCTGAGTAGTTTTAAGCTGTTTATCATGATGGTAAATCTTCACTAAGTAATCTTTCTTGAGTAGAATTAGAAACAGATTTTCATTTCTTACCTAGTTACTCTTTCATTGCTATGAGTATTTGTCTACATTTCCTTTTGCTAAATCATGACAAGATTCAGTGCATGAAACAGAAACTTTAGGAAATAATGAGACTCACTCCAGGTTAGCTAGGTTAATGTTTGTAAATGTCAACATGTTTTGTTTTTATGTATGACTGAAAAGTCGAGCAATATTAGAAATTTAAAAACAAGATAGTGAAAACTTAGGAGTTGGCTGTTTCTCTTATAATTACTTTCTGAGATCCAATCTTTTTACTCTACTTTGCTAAATTTTTTTGTCTTTCTAAAGAACATCTTTGTGTACAAAATACGTCCCTGCCAGGAAATATATGGTAAATATTCACTTAGAATTACATGGCCTTACTGTATGCCAGTGTTCCATGTGGGAATAGGATTTATTAGTAACAAAGCTATGAAACACATGCATGCTGGTATATCACTTTGAGAGCTATGTGCTATGCTTCCACTAGTGCACCCATCTGAGAATCTGGTGGCTTATTGCTCACCCCCTAATCACACCCTAGTCTCCAGTTGCTGAGTTATAATTAAGTTCTAATGCTAGGCAGCAATGTGTGGTGGTGACCTAAACATAAAGCATGAATACAAACCATTGTGAACACTCAAGAGGATTGGCCTTCTGGCCTTTTCTTAGGTAATATCTGCCTTTCCCCCCAGATTTTCGGAAACATTACAGATGCTACTTTGTCTCATGGAATACTGATTGTGATGTACGGCTCGGGATTAGTCAGACTCTATAGCTTCCAAGCCATCACTGAACAGGTAGAGAAAACTGCAATTTGTCATATTGTAATTAGTATGAGGTTTGGACTGAAGTATGATTTTTTTTTTTAATGTAATGCTTTTAGAGTAAGGCTCTTGTATTGTTTTCAACTCTATAAAAATTGTAGAAATACAAAAGGAAAATAACCTTTAAGAAAGAGGTGAAGATAAACAGGTTTTTTAATGAAGACATTTTCTCTGTCATGTATATGTATATTTTATTTTTCTCTCTCCAGATAGCAAATACATAGGTGCTAAAGCCACCGTTTTTGTTTTGTTTTGTTTTTAGTTCATGCAACAGAAACTTGACTTAGGGTGTGCATGCAGATGGGGTGGGACTACTGGAACTGTAGGAGAGGCTCCTTTTGGCATTCCTTGTAATATTAAAATAACAGGTATGGCTACTATATAGTATATTTTTGTCTTAAAAAATAAATGATTGTATAAATAGCTACTAATTGTAATCATCCAAATGTTTTTCTCTTTAATTATAAGCTGATTCATTTTACTCCTGTACAGCACATTCCTCACTATTGAATAAGTGTCAACAAGGTTCTATCAGTTACTTATTGAAGAGAAGGCCTGAGGATGCTGAGCCTTACTTGGCCAGAGACCTTTGGCAAGTCACTTTGTCTTTCTGATCCTTGATTTCCTTATCTGGAAAATGATGAGTTGCTGCAAGTGTTGCCATCTTAACTTCCTTATAACTTAATGTCTTATAATTGTGTGCAATTTACCCATCTCTAAGAACAGTGTCTTCCAAGGACAATATTACCATGCCACCTGCACATAGACAGAATCTAGATACAGAGAGAACCTCTCAATATATTTATAAATTGACAAAGCAAAAAAAGAAAATTATACACGATTATATAAATATAATGAAAATGTTCTGTATTTAACTAGCTTATTAAATTCAGCAACTTACTAAAAAAGAAATCAGCTACTACTCAGATTTAGCAATATATATTAAAAGAAATCATTACTGTTTCAGAAATACAAGGATGGTTTAATGAATGCAAATCGATATAAAAAGCACAAATTAAAAGAGAAGATGTATTTTATTATCCTAATATATTTTATCTTTATTCTTAGTTCATTAAGAATCATTCCTCATCTATCATGTTGAGGACATTTCCTTCTGTTTCCAACCAGTAAACATCATTTCTTTAAATGAAACGCCAAAGTTTTTCTGATACAGGCAAAATAAGACAGAATTTATTCTGTCATTATTATTTACTGTTGTATCATCAGCAGATCAAGAAATAGAAATGGAAGATGGAAGTGTAAGAAAAGAATGGTCTTTTTATAACAGAACAATTATAAGCTGTGGAGAGAGTTCAGTATAGCCAATTAAGTTATCCATGAATGTTAAAGTAAATGTTTTTAAAATTGCTCAAGTTTTCAAATGCCTTGGGCAAGCTGATTTAGGCAGTTTTATGAAAATTCAGCAATACCTCCTCGCCCTGCAATACCTCCTCTATTGAATACAAATACACTTGCAGGATATCTATTAAGAATTTTTAAATTATAGGTGTCATTGGTAACTGAAATGGGTTATTTTGAAAAGAGTTTCCCAAAATGGGTAGTACTGTTCTTGTTGAAATGCAGAAAATAGGGGAATAAAGCAAAAAGCAAGATGAAGACAAAGCACATAGAGACTGAAGGATTGTGCTGTAGTTTTGGTCTGTATTTGTAGAAAGAAGAATGGATTTGGGATCAGAATCTTAGTCTGATGCTAATAAGAGTAAAAAACAAATCCACTGTTAGCTGGTGGTATGACAGTGGGCCAATTACTTAACCTCTGTGGGCCTTACATTGCTTAACTTTAATAATGTTTGTAAACATAATCTATGAATTTGTTTGTCATTGTAAAACAGAATAAATGATTTTTGGACATCTGCCTAAGAAAAATACCATGTTTCAATGGAAGCTATGAGTGTTTATTTTACATTCTAGAGACTGCAATCCTATTTTTCTCCAAATTAGTTGTTTTCAGTATAATTAAGGTCTATGTGCTGTAATATTTTAACTTCAAATACTTTTCTTAGTACAAAAATAGTTTATTTTCATTACATAAAAATTAGAAAATAAAGATAAGCAAAAGAAAGAAAATTTAAGATATTCATAGCATTGGGCGCTGGCAGGTCACACCCGTAATTCTTGCTACTCAGGAAGCAGAGATCAGGAGGATCGAGGTTCAAAGCCAGCCCAGGCAAATAGTTCGCAAGACCCTATCTCAAAAAGAAATCCTTCACGAAAAAGGGCTGGTGGAGTGGCTCAAGGTGTAGACCCTGAGTTCAAGCCCCAGTACCGCTAAATAAATAAATAAATAAATAAAATAAAAATTTCATAGCACTCTTATGTGAAGTTAATTGTTATCACCTTAGTGTGGTTTTTTTTTTCTTAGTGTTTTTTTTAGTTTGTTGGAGATACTAAGGTTTGAACCCAGGGCTTCATGCTTGCTAGGCAGGCGTTCTACTTACTGCCTGAGCCTCTCCACCAGCCCTTTCATAGTCTTGTAATGTTTGCATGTATTTCTATATACTTACTACCAAAAAAAAAATACAATAAATGCTCTGATATAACTCACTTTTAAAATCAGCTCTGTTGAAGTATAATTTACATGTAATTAAAATGTCCCCATTATAACTGAACAGTTTGGCTTTTGTCAAATGTATACATTCATGAAATCAATTCAGAATCTTCATCTTCCAAAAAAGTTCCCCTGTTCTCTCCCAGTCAGTTCTCTTCTTACCCCAGCCCCAAGCAACTAATGATCTACTTTCTTTCACTGTATATTATATTTTCTAGAATATCAAATAAATGGAATCATATGATGTGTACTTGTTTCTCTGGCTTCTGTCACTTAGGATATTACAGTAAGCTCACCTTACTTGTGGTTTTGTTACATATGATTTTCACTTAAGTGTGCTGCAAATAAAAATTTTAAATTTCAAAAACAAAAATTAATTCCCATATGCTTATTACGCAGCTCATTTGATGCAGGGATACTTTGTCAGTCCTGCAGCATTATCAGTTATGTTAAATCATTGTGTGATCTGCTGTGTTTCCCCCCCATCTTTTTTTTTTTTGACAGTACTGGAATTTTAACTCAGGGGTTCAGAGTAGGTACTGTACCACTTGAACCACACCTCCAGTCACTTTTTTTTTTTTTTTGGTGGTAGTGGGGTTTGTACATGGGGCTTCATGCTTGCTAGGCAGGCATTCTACCTCTTGAGCCATACCACCAGCCCCCCATTTTTTTTTGTATGTGTGTATGAAAATATGGTTCCCCCAAAGCAAATGGTGTCCAAAAAGCAAGGTAAAAATAAATGTGCTCAATTGAAGTAATAAAGTGAAATTTTTAGATCTGTTGGAAAGGCAACATGTTTTTAGCAGAAGTTGTTTGGTGTTATGGAGAAAATGAATTCAAGTATCCACAGTAAGGTACTGAAACTTTATGCATCTTGAACATTTACATTTTCCCTTATCAGTGGGCTCATTGGAACCATAAATCCACGGATACAAAGGAAACATGAGTTTCATTTCATGTTGTTGCATGTATGTATAGCCTAACTTGCTTTTTAATGTTAATATATTATGAGTATTAAATAAGTGGGAGTGTAGCTCAGTGGTAGAGTACTGCCTAGAATACAGAAGGCCTTGGTTTGATCCCTAGCACCACAATAAATGTATAAATGGGTGATCTTATATAAACAATAAATAATAGATGACTCAGGTTTTTAAGTTCTAAAAGAAAACTTGGGATAATCTTTTTTTAAATCTCAGAATGGGAAAGAGCTTTCTAATTATGACACAAAACCATTAAAGGGGATTGATAAGTTTGATTACATAAAATTAAAGTACTACATGGCCAAGAAAAACCACCTCAAATATACATATCTCAAAAATCAATTAACAAGTAGAACATAGTTGCAAAATACACTCTAAAGAAGTAATTTTCTCATACAGCGAAGGAAGGAAGGAAGAGTGAGAGAGGAAGAAGGGAAGGAAGGAGGGAGGGAAAGAGAGAGGGGAGAAGGAAGAATTAGCTGGACACCCATGGCTCTTGGGAGGCTAAGCAGTTTGAGGCCAGCACTGGCAAATAGTTTGTGAGACACTAGCTCCAAAATAACTAAGTGGACTAGAGGCATGTCTCAAGCTGTAGAGTGCCTGCTTTGCAAGTGGGAAGCCCTGAATTAAAAATCTCAGTCCCTCCCCAAAAAAAGTAATTTCCTCAATATATAGTGATCTACAGATCAGTAAGAACAAGTGATGACAACTTTTAAAATGAGCAAAGTATAATACCAAGAAAAGGAAATACAAATGACTTAATTAGAGGAGTGCACTGCTCAAGGTCTGATAAGAGAAATGCATATTAAATTTAAGATACACCTTTTTAGATAGTAAAAGTTAGAACTTTTTTTTTTTTTTGTGGCACTGGGTTTGAACTCAAGTCCTCAGGCTTGCTGGGCAGGCACTCTTAGAGCTGTTCCACCATCCCTTTTTGTGATGAGTTTTTTCCAGATGGGGTCTCATGAACTATTTGCCCAGGACTGACTTCAAACCATTATCCTCCTGATCTCTGCCTCCTGAGTAGCTAGGATTACAGGCATGAGCCATCGGCATCCAGCTAATTCTTTTAATATAACATGATTGATGAAGGTTTAGAAAAGGCATTTCCATTTATTGGAGTTTTTATGAAGGACAGTTTGTCAGTACCATCAATTTTAAATGCTTAGACTCAGTCTAGCAATTCCACTTTTAGAAATTTATGCCAGATATATTCAAATGTGCAAGAAATGTTACAAATATAACATTGTTTCCAATAGCAAAAGACTGTAAACAATATACATTGGTAAGTGACAGTAGTATTTCATTATTGGCTTTGTCATAAATTTAATTGTTAAACTAGAGACAGGTAGACCAGGCATGGAGAGGCTAAAGCCTGTAATTCTAGCTACTAAGAAGAATTGCACTTCAAAGCCAGCCCAGGTCAAAAAAAAAAAGTTCACAAGACCTCATCTCAGTGAAAGCTGGGCATGGTGGTGGTGTGCACCTGTCATCCCAGGTGCATGGAAAGCAAAAATAAAAGGTTCTAAGGATTGCAGTCCAGGCCAACTTGGGTGTAAAAGGCTAGGGGCCTGGCTCAAGTGGTAGAGTGCCTATCTGGCAAGCATTAGGCTCTGAGTTCCATCCCAGTACTACAAAAAAGGCAGTGCAAAATTGTGTATATTTAAGACCTCATTTATTTATTCATACACATATATTAAAGATATATATACAATTGTGCCTTTTAGACTTGCTTTGACTATCTGGAAGAACACAAAAATCTTAACAAATACTACTTAATGCTGAGGAGACACAGGTGAAAAGAAGTTTTCATTAAATA